TCAGAAAGGCGGGGCATAGAGGAGAAACAATAATGTACAGTATGTGGAAAATAATGTGTTTTTTTAACCTTAAACCGCATAAACACATTTCATTACACCAAATACACAAAATAATGTTCTTTTTAGCAACATCATATGACCCCTTTAACTGTTAAAAAAAAGAATGCTGTTAATGAAATCATTGTTAGAAAAACATTTGCAGTTACCCTACTGTACGAATAAAAAAACAACATAATTACATGAACCGTGAACATAAGGCAAATTAACGCATAAATACAAAGCATAAATCTTTATTCAGATTTCATGAGCACGTTGTCATTTGAAATGCATATGTTGTGGATTTGTCCGTCTGATGATCATCAAGGTCATCTGATATTCACTGCGGTAATGTATAGAGAATGGGAATGTGTCGTCAAAGCGGCAATGCATTCTGGAAATTTAGGTCACGGGAGCTACAGCGGAGACTGGATAATATAGTGAATGTAAGAGAGAATATAGGGCCCCATGTGTCATCAGATTTGATTGATGAGGGTCATAAAAATTCCACCTCACCCCCCATACTGGACACCTGTACTGGACAGTTAGTTACCCCCATCTAACTGTCCATCTGTTTATCCACCCCAGCGATCCGAAGGAATTTATGATTGTTTGGGAATGTGTTTTTTGTGTGGGTCCGTTGAAACGGTTCAAAACTATGTGCTTTAAACTTTAAATTGTGAAACGTGGTATGATTATTAAACGGGATAAGGGAAGTTTTTATTAAAGTTTTCACACATACATTTCAAGAAAAACATCAAACATACACGGAATAGAAACAATGTAATGACTGTTTTTCCAGAAAAGAGTAAAAACGGGTCGAGACAACTATTTAAGTGTTGTTAAAACAATTTAAAAGCTAGTTAGAGTTTGACAAAGTTAAATAAAAAGAAAAATGTTGACCATCTATCTTAACAAAAAAAGTATCAGATACGTTCGTTAAAAAATACGACGGTTTTTCTATGTTACAATTTAAAAACTATTTAGAGTTTGTTACCATTTAGAAAAGAAAAGAAAAAATGTTTACTTATCTTACCGTGTTCTAAAACAAAAAATATCAGACCGTTAAGCGCCAGTAGTCAAAATCTATATTGTAGTCTATCATTACAATTTAAAACTAGTTAGAGTTTGTCACGACGGTAGAAAAGTTAAACAAAAGAAAAGAACCGTGTATCTTACGGTGATCTAAAAGAAAATTCATCAGACAAGGTCGTTAAAACACCAGCATAAGATACTTGTCAAAATCTATGTTGTGCTCTACCATTTAGCTACAATTTTAAAAAGCTAGACCTTGTTATTGACAGAAAGTTAAACAAAAGAAAAAATACCTGACCATCTTACACTGATACATCCTCACACGCTGCTGTCAAAACTCAGAATGTTTACGTCCGGTCCCACTCAAACCACACCCACTAAC